GAGGTATCAAACGTCAGGACGATCTGTCGTCCTTATCACAGGGTGCAAAGGTCACAAAACGAGTTGGTAGCAACGAGAGACTCGATCAGAACCACCAGAATGAAGATGATCATGAAGAGGAAAATACTCGAGTCTTGTTTACTCTACGAAACAAGAGTCACGACGAGGACCAATACAACAATCTTCATTACAGAACAATTGTAAAAAAAACTCCGTGAGTAAGAGCCGTTGGATTAATATGTGTTCTACCTGTTATTCACTTAAAATCGCCAAATTTCTGAACTTTCCGGTAAAACCTCATTGAGCATTGAATATGGTTAGATATTTGTCCTGACTGTTTTGGTTTTACTTGGTTGCCGGAGCACAACGAAAATAATTGTTGAACGCTGTCAGCCGATGAAGTTGGAACCTATGAGAGGTGTTCAAAAATAAACAAAATGCCATATGTGGAAAAAGGCTTTTTCGACGCCTCTGTTCAGAGAAAACCGGTTCCTGCATGATACAGTGCCAACTGCAACTGGCCATCACGTGTCGTTAGGTGTTCACAAATAATTTTGACCTTGTCCTGATTGCTGTAACGGCCATCATTCGATCTAGTCGATATAGTCGATTAATCTATCTATTTCTTATCCCACGGCAAATACAGATACCCTATTATGTGAACATGAGGAATTACATTTGCTTCGAGGGATCTGTGTATATTAAAGTTTCTGTCTGATTCTCCTGAGGAATCTGCTCTGACCACATTGAAGATGCCAAATGATCATTGCATCACTATCCGGCTAGACAGTAGATGGTATGACGCACATTGCCACTCTCGTTTAACTTTTATATTGCCCAACTCACATTATTCATTGTGTCTACCTTCTTAGGAGTGGAGGATGGCTGTGCCACCCTTGTGACGTCAGTGACATTTATTGCAGATTCGTTGTTTCTGACAATGCAACCTACATTTTACTCTGGTCTGAGTTACAACAGAAAATTCTCCAAAACGAATGCAATGAACTGCACATTTACAATTACATTTTCGATGAAATAATTTTTAAAAAATAATTTTGTAAATTAATTTCAATTCTGTCTCCTTGTTCATTAATTTCCACTCGAATGGATCAAGACCTAAAGAAACAGATATATGCAGTCTTTATTATAATTGATGAAGCTTCATCGTCAAGATAAACGAGAGAATGCAGAAAGCCTGGCAGCCGCTCCAACATCACTGTTTGCCCTCAGGATGGCCACTGTAATGTGGCTAAAACATCGCCACTTATAATAACGATTACTACCTGCATGCATTGCTCTGTGTAGAACCGTTTGAAACAGCAATTCATGGACATGTATCCTTGCGATCATTGAAATGATACGAATAAAACTTTATGAAGAATATTGAAAACTGCCAAACTTGAAAATACCCATTAAGTCACGAGACTGTTTCTAACATGACCTATCAACTTTCCTCAGGTATTCTTCGCAGAATTACAAACTATGTTTCATTGAGCCATTCTCTTTGTATGCCTAATAATTCACCCAACAAGATTTATTTTCTTGAACCACAGTGGTTGCTTTTAGTGCAAGTAGGAAAAAGAAACTTCACAAATCGTACAAAATGATTCTTAAAAATCAACGTAATAAAAGGTATATTCATTGTATTTATAAGCTGTTTTCATTTGTCTGTCTCTGTTCTTCCAGTTACCTGTGCCATACAATTGGTTAATTTTTCTCTCTCTACTGATTCAGCTTCTCGCGGATAACGGATGGCTCATCCAAAACCAGACTCCACGGCGTATTGTACCGCATTTTGCTCAGCAACTCATGTGACCTATAGATCTGCGGTATTTGAGAGCCTAAGGGCCAAACTCTGCTGTTGTCAGTTACAAGCCCGAATCAGAACAGAGGATGGTAAGAGATCGCTGTGAAGTTATCGCCAAACTTCGCTACCTGCCCCTCATGGCACGGCCATCATCTAACGTTATACCGGCTCGGTGGCCACCCGGAATACCAAGGGTCGAGCAGACACAGAAAAATCGGCGATCAGACGTGCTCAACGCCCTCTACCAGCAACGAGGGGGGGGCGTTATCAGCACAACAACGGACGACGAAGATCAACGAAACGATGACGAAGATACCAATCAGCAAAGGAGTCGCTACCCGTTCTGAAAAGAAGAGGCAGACAGCACGATGCCATTACAGCACGTCAGAAAAGGGTCCACGAGAACGGCACCACCAGCGGGAGCTTACAGTCGGAAATTGGAATTGATCTTCACTCAGAGGGAAAGAACAAGAATTTGTTGATGAGTCCATAAAATGCCAGCTCGACATTGCTGAACTCTCGTCAGCGAAGCGCCAAGGCTCTGGAATGCTGAACCTCAGTGGATGGAAGCTGTTCTACTCAGGCGTCGATATCACGACTCGCGCTCAGGCCGGTGTTGACGATAGAATAATCGATTGGAAGCCTATCAGCGGAGGGGTGGTAATCCTCCGATTGAAGTTACAACAGGCTAAAGCGTGGCCTTTGTTATATCTCCATGCGTCCAATTTAGAGGGTGAATATGAGACCGATGACCAGTTACTACGGCCCATCCAATCACTACCTGCTGATAGCAAGTGCTGCGTCAAAGTAAATGGCGTTAAGTGGAAACCATTCAACGTTCGCACTGGTCTCGGCCA